TACAAAGCCATTCATAACATTGCCCCAAACTACCTCACCGACCTGATACCCAAATCCATCAGACTGTCACCTACCCTCCTCACCTTTAGGCGCACCCTGAAAACCCATCTCTTCAGGGAAGCCTACCCCACCCTCACCTAACAGCTGATCTCTTCCATTCCTCCCACCACTCCATCCCCCACAGCCACTTTCTCCTGTACCACTATCCCTCCCTCCTAGATTGTAAGCTCGAAAGAGCAGGGCCCTCAAACCCCTCGTATATTGTCTTGTTACTGTATTGTCTCACGTACTGTCCCCCACTATATTGTACAGCGCTGAGCAAACTTCTTGGCTCTATATAAACACTGTATAATAATAATAATAATAATATTACACAAGAATTAAAGAAATCTTTATTTATAGGTTTGGATTATATTGTTATTCACAAATGTTTCCTGTTTGAATATTTATATATCTATGATTTGTACATATATGTTTGGTTAATATATGGGGTTTAAATAGGTTGGAATACACCCTAGGGAGCGCCATATGCCCATTACTAATCATCACTCTCCAGTTTTACTAAATAACCCCCACAGAGTGAGAACTGTATGTGCATCAACTTGTGCATGTGCATTAGCGTGGACAAGTGTGCACCTGAACATGGATGTTTTGGTACCTATTTGAAGCTGTACAATTGTCCAAAAAAACTGCTGAGTGGTCTTTAGCTCCTATTACTGATTTACGGTAATCTTGTGCTTGCTTTTGTGTTCAGATGCAACTTCTTTTTATTCTTCTTGCTCCTGATACTCTGTTGCTGACACCGGCTTGTGACCCAACCTTCCCTCCTGCTTGCTCTGCTCACCTACTATTGACCGTATCTTGGCTCTGACTCTGTTCCTGTTTCTTGATTCTGTACTTCTGCTACCCACTTGTTGCCAGTCCCTGCCTGACCATGCGTCAGAGATATTGCATCTGCCAGCTGACAGTATGCCTGCTATACAGTCTTCAGTTCTGCATTTGCTACAGTGTCTTCCAGGAACTCCTACATGCACGGTTTGCCCTGTTACATCCTGTTATCAACTCCAGGGGAAAGAGGACAGGTGGTGTAAAGGAAGCCCTCTTGTCAACTTGGCCTCAACCAGGTACATCACAATGGTAGGGGAAGGAAAAGTATCTCATACTATATATGTGTGTGTATATACATGTTGCCAGGAATCACAATATCTCTGTATACTGAGAAACAGATCTAAAGTTTTTTTTAGGTTAACTATGTTCTCAGCTGATACCACTAACTGTGGAAGGAATTCCACATTTTTACTGCTCTGAAAGTAAAAAACCCTTCTGCAGGTGTAGCAGCCTCCTAGATAGGTTCTAGGTTTAGATATATAAAGTGTTTTGATAGGTACATTTAGTTGTCACACTGTAGTCAGTGTGGTTATGATTGTTGTTCGGTAACAATTAAGTTTGCACACTGTAATCAGTGTTGCTGTGTTTTGCTAGTTAGGTATGTTCCCTATGTTCAGCTGATGCCAACCTGACAGGTCCCTCTGCATCCAGAATGTTTGAGAAGCTTCTGGATCATACTGTAGCTGTGGAGCTTTGCAGATGGCAGCATGAATATTGAGACAGCCCTGGCCTATCCCAGCATGCTCTGATAGCATGCTAGATAACTGTATATATTCAATGAGAACGCTGGGCTCTGGGTCTTTTCCTGTATAGGATTGGTCCAGCCTAGAGGGGGCATTCTGTCCTCCCAGGCAATGCTGCTGCATCTGCTGTTGTAGATCTCAGGTGGACGACCTGAGGACCTAAATGCTGAGACCCAGGTTCTGCTGACTGAGGGGCCATCTACTGATGATCTAGTCTGGTTTCACGGAGGAAGCCAACCATCTGTCCTTGGGCCTTGTGAGTAAAGACACCTCTGAAAGGATCTTAGAGACTTTGTGCTGCTAAAACCCCTCTGGTGCTAGGGAATCAGCTGCGGGTCTAGATAAAGGGGACACTGGCTGGTGTTCCAAAGAGCTTTATCCACTTAATCTCCTACTTGAAAGGGCTCTGCTCTAGTTTTCTATTAGGTCTACTACTGCTGTCTTAAAGCTGAAGTCTACTGTTTGTTGCAAGCACTGACTTCTTCATAGCTTATCTGAAAAAATACCTAAAGTCCTCAACTATACATACAGTTGCAAGAAAAAGTATGTGAACCCCTTGGATTAGGTGGAGTTTTGCATGAATTGGGCATAAAATGTGCTCTGAATGTCATCTAAGTCACAACAATAGAAAAACACAGTCTGCCGAACATAATACTACACAAACATTAGATGTTGCCATGGTTTAATTGCACATAACATGTAAACATTCACAGTGCAGGGAGGAAAAAGTATGTGAACCTTTGGACTTAATAACTGATTGACCCTCCTTTGGCAGCAATAACCTCAACCAAACATTTCCTGTAGTTGCAGATCAGACCTGCACAACGATCTGGAGTAATTTTGGACCACTCCTCTTCACAAAACTGTTTCAGTGTAGCAATATTCTTGGGATGTCTGGTGTGAATCGCTCTCTTAAAGTCATGCCACAGCATTTCAATCGGGTGGAGGTCAGGACTCTGACTGGGCCACTCCAGAAGGCGTATTCTGTGCTGTTGCAGCCATTGTTTTGTTTAATTACTTGTATGCTTTGGGTCATTGTCCTGTTGCATCACCCATCCTCTGTGGAGCTTCAGTTGGCGACAAATGGTCGTACGTTTTTTTGCAAAATGTCTTGATAAACTCTGGAATTCATTTTCCCATCAATGACAACAATCCATCCAGGCCCTGAGGCAGCAAAGCAGCCCCAAACCATGATGCTCCCTCCGCCATGTTTTACAGTGGGGATGAGGTTTTGATGTTGCTGTGCTGTGCCTTTTTTTTCTCCACACATAGTGTTGTGTGTTCTTCCCAAAAAACTCAATCTTGGTTTCATCTGTCCACAGTATATTTTGCCAGTAGTGCTGTGGAATATCCAGGTGCTCTTTTGCAAACTTCAAACGTGCTGCAATATTCTTTTTTGACAGCAATGGCTTCCTCCGTGGTGTCTTCCCATGTACTCCATTCTTGTTTAATGTTTTCCTTCTTGTAGATGTGTCAACAAAAATGTTAGCATGTGCCAGAGATTTCTGTAGGTCTTTAGCTGACACTCTGGGATTCTTCTTTACCTCATGCAGCATTCTGCGCTGTGCTCTTGCAGTCATTTTTACAGGACGACCACGCCTAGGGAGAGTAGCAACAGTGCTAAACTTTCTCCATTTGTAGACAGTCTGTCTTACCGTGGACACATGAACATCAAGGCTTTTGGAGATACTTTTGTAACCCTTTCCAGCTTCATGCAAGTCAACAATTCTTGATCGTAGGTCTTCTGAGAGCTCTTTTCTGCGAGGCATGGTTCACATCAGACAGTGCTTCTTGAAACCAGTAAACCCAAAACAGGTGTGTGTTTTTTAAGGGCAGGAGAGCTGTCAGCAACACATCCAATATCATCACACTGATTGGAGTCAAGGATGGCTCACTCCTGGCTCCAATTAGCTCTGGGAGAAGTCATTAAGCTAGGGCCTCACATACTTTTTCCTCCCTGCACTGTGAATGTTTACATGTTATGTGCAATTAAACCATGGCAACATCTAATGTTTGTGTAGTATTATGTTCAGCAGACTGTGTTCTTCTATTGTTGTGACTTAGATGACGTTCAGAGCACATTTTATGCCCAATTCATGCAAAACTCCACGTAATCCCAAGGGGTTCACATACTTTTTCTTACAACTGTAGTTCTTGTTTTTGAGTATCCCACCTAATTCTCCCATCCTTATCAAAGTTCTAAAAAAAAACAACAAAAAACCCGGATAAAACCAACAGCCCTAGGCTGGTCATTGATGAAATGTGTGAATGAGCCTATGTGCCTTGCTCCAGGGCAATGTTTTTGGGGAAGACCTGGACAGTATTCCTGCAGCTCCTATGGGAGTGGATATACACAGTTAAAGATTAAACTGCTCCTTGTCCAACTTTGCATCATCATCACAGTCCTTGGATTAACTCCTTCCATGGTTAGAAATGCACATTATTTACTAGTTACATTTGGTTTATCATTTCATCTTTGTCTTTTTTCTGGAATAGGGGAGGGACTCTAGTTGGAGCACCTTTTGGTATGTACTGTAGCTTGGGGTTTCTGTGTGTTTTCCACCTATTTTTAACTTCAGTGTAGAGGTGCTCATTCCAGTACAAGAACTGACAGAGCAATGAATTCAGTGTGTTGAGTGAGCATTGACAGGGAGCAGAGAATATGCCATCTAGTAAGCTGCAAGGAATGTTACCGTATTTTTCGCTCCAAAAGAAACACTTTTTTCCCCCCAAAAAAGGGGGGAAAATGTGAGTGCGTCTTATGGAGCGAATATGGAGCGGCCGGTCCGGTATTTCCACCGCGGCCGTGTAAGAATACCGGGCCGGCCGCTCAGCTCTGCAGCGGGACCTTATGGAGATGACTGCTGACCTTTGGGGAGGTGGGGAGCGGGTACCTGAATTTGACAGGTACCCGCTCTTACTTCTTTGTTCTTTGATCTTACCTGTTCCTCTATCCAGCGGCGCGCTGTCTTCCGGCTTCTGTAGTGTGGGCACTGGGCATGACAGCCGGGTGCCAAGTGCGCATGCGCAAGAAGCGGTGCTTTTTGTGAATGGTAAGGCGGTACCTGGGACACATGACAGATCCCAGAAGCCGCCGGACCAATCACAAAGCGCAAGTGCTTCTCGCTCATGCGCACTGGGCACCCGGCTGTCATGCCGAGCGCCATTACAGAAGCCGGGAAGACAGCGCGCGGCTGGAGAGAGGAACAGGTAAGATCAAACAAAAACTCTGCGGAAGTAAGAGCGGGTACCTGTCAAATTCAGGTACCCGCTCCCCACCTTCCCAAAGGTCAGCAGTCATCTGTATTGTCCGCAGTCTCTGGTCATCCCTGTGCTGTCCGCAGTCTCTGGTCATCCCTGTGCTGTCCGCAGTCTCTGGTCATCCCTGTGCTGTCCGCAGTCTCTGGTCATCTCCTGTACTGTCCGCAGTCTCTGGTCATCCCTGTACTGTGTCCGCAGTCTCTGGTCATCTCCTGTACTGTCCGCAGTCTCTGGTCATCTCCTGTACTGTGTCCGCAGTCTCTGGTCATCTCCTGTACTGTGTCCGCAGTCTCCGGTCATCTCCTGTACTGTGTCCGCAGTCTCTGGTCATCTCCTGTACTGTGTCCGCAGTCTCTGGTCCTCTCCTGTACTGTGTCCGCAGTTCTTTTCCTGTACTATGTCCACAGTCTCTGGCCTCTAAAACTGTCCCTATCCCTGTGCTGTCCGTGTCATCGTCTGTTATGTCTGCAGGTAGTTCAGAATTTTTTTTTCCTGTTTTCTGCTAAAACCTAGGTGCGTCTTATGGTCAGGTGGTCTTATGGAGCGAAAAATACGGTAATTGGGAAAAGGCCTTGAGTAAGCTGGTTTGCAGAGATGGCTATGTGTATCAAATTGGTGGAGGTGAAGCTCAGACCAATAAATGACCACTGAATGAACCATCACCATGTGCTGCACCTCTGGCCATGTGGTGGAGGTGAAAGTGAGAGGACAATGGTTTTATACGATAATTCAGGGATATGCAAATCATACTGCATTTGACTCTGATATCTGTGTACATGAACCCTAATAAGGTTCATTGCACTGCTACCAGTTGTGACTGCTTAATATCTTGGCATCAAGTGTTTGCTGTCTTCTCTTAAGCATTTCCAGATCGGACAATTTTACCCCTTTCCTGACCAGGGCAATTTTCAGCTTTCAACGCTATCACACTTTGAATGACAACACTGTACCCAAATGAATTTTTTTACCATTTTTTTGAGACAGATAAAGCTTTATTTTGGTGGTATTTATTCACCGCTGGGATTTTAATTTTTTTTGCTATGTAAATGAAAAAGTCCAAACATTTTGAAAAAATTTTTTTTTTTTTTTATAAAATTTTGCAAATAAATAATATTTCATCATAAATCTTGGACAAAATTTATTCCATTATCTTTTTAGTAAAAAAAAAAAATCCAAATTAGTTTATAACCAAAAAGTATAATTTTTAAACATTTTTTTTTACATTTTTATATTATTTTTTTATATTATTATTATTATTTTTTTTTTTACATACTGTCACCCTAGCAGTACAGTGTCACCATGGTGACACTTTACTACTTGTAGGGGGTGATAAAGTTTTTTTTTTTTTTTTTTTTTACACTGATTGCTTTTACACCCATATAGGATGTAAAAGCAATCATTTCTCTTTCTCTCTGTCTGCATTCTTGCACTCATTGAGAAGTACTGAGTGAGCTGTGATTGGTCACAGCTTGTCACATGGTACAAGGCTGTTGTGAATAGCCTTGTACCATGTGACCTCTGTGATCATTGACAGATTTCACACGTAGTAAGCAATGATGTCACAAGTGACATCTTGCTTACTACTTTGCATGTGATCACTGATTGGCCAATCAGTGATCACATGATCGGGACCTCGTACAGAGGTCCCGTCCAACGATCGGTGTTTCACTGTGTCCGGAGGACACAGCGGGCAGCGGATCGCGGTGCTGCGCGCTCCCAGGGAGCGCGCACATGCAGGGTGCGGGGGGGCTGTTTATAAACGGCCACCCGACCCTGCAGTGCCACCGTCCAGCCGTTTATATGCAACGGCCGGTCGGGAAGTGGTTAAAGTGGTAGTAAACCATTACATATACCCAGTGAAGTGAATGGCCTCAGGTAATTCACAGAGATTAAACAAATCCTCCTACATACTTTTACCCGTTTTTCTGCAGTCTCCTCTTCTCTACAGCTGTTCAAAATGCTGAATTTTTACAGCTTGCCTGAGAGTTCAAAAAAAGGGGTTGGAGAGCTGAAATTACACACTACAGAGCTCAGTGAGTAGAGCTCTGAGAGCTGATTGGGGGGAAGGGACACATCCCCTTCCACAGTCACAAAAAAAGCCAGGTTACAATAAACCTGAAAAACACCTTGACATGTCTCACCTGACTCTTTTTGGGGCATCAGTACAGTAAAAGCTTCTTTCTGGCAACTTGACCATGCAGCTTATTTTTGTTCAAGTTCCATCCAATTGTGCCCCTTGAAAACAACCACACTTTCTTTTTCCAGAGCAACCTGTATTTCTCTTGAGGTTACCTGTGGGTTTTTCTTTGTATCCCGAACAATTTTTTTAGGCAGTTGTGGCTGCAATCTTTCTTGGTCTACCTGACCTTGGCTTGGTTTCAAGAGATCATTGAATTTTCCACTTCCTAATTTGTGATGTAACAGTACTTACTGGCATATTCAAGGCTTTTTATATCCTTTCCATCTTTATACAGTTCTATTGCCTTCATTATGTTCTTTTCTGCTCCCCATGGCTCAGTAGCTCTAGGTTGCTCAGTGCTTCCATGTAAGAGATAACAAACTCATTGACTCTTTATACACAGAAACTAATTACAATTTAAAAAGCCTACAGATGTTGGAAATTAACTTGCCATACCTGGCATACCATACCTACCTAACATACCTTTAACCTGTGTATGTCACCTTGTGTGTCTGTACCAAGGCCAAATATTTCAGGGTATGTAAACTTTTGATCAGGGCCATTTGGGTGATTTCTGTTATCATTATGATTTAAAAAGGAGCCGAAAAAACTATGTGATAATAAATGGCTTCATATAATCACTATGCTTAAATAAAATACATTTTTTGGCATGATCAGTCATATTTTCAATATCAATGCCAAAATTTCATGATTTCTGCCAGGGTGAGCAAACTTTTAAGCACAATTTTATATAGTGCTATCAATTTAAACAGCACTCTACTTATATATTGTACACTCACATCAGTCCCTGCCCTCAAGGAGCTTACAATCTAAGGTCTATAGCTCACACTCATACATACACATACTAAGGCCTATTTAGAGAGCAGCCAGTTAACTTACCACCATGTCTTTTGGAGTGTGAGAGGAAATCAGAGGTAACCCATTCTGGAATGAGAGCTGTCTTTGACAGCTCATTCTTTGTGCTGGGAGCATGCAGTTAGTGCTCTCTCAGCATGTAAACATTGCCCTCCCAGCAACACATATGTGCAGTGTGTGGGCATTAAGGCCCACCCTTTTGCTGCCACACATATACTATGTTGTCAAAAAATTAAAGGAACACTTTGAAAATACATCAAATCTCAATGGGGAAAATATCATGCTGGATATCTATACTGATATGAACTGGGTAATGTGTTAGGAATGTAAGGATGCCCCATAATTTGATGGAAATGAAAATTATCAACCTACAGAGGACTGAATTCAAAGACACCCCAAAATGATATCCCAGAGGTGCGCTGTTGGATTTAGGTCAGGTGAGTGTGGGGGCCATTCAATGGTATCAATTCCTTCATCCTCCAGGAACTGCCTGAATACTCTCGCCACATGAGGCCAGGCATTGTCATGCACCAGGAGGAACCAGGACCCACTGCACCAGCGTAGGGTCTGACAATGGGTCCAAGGATTTCATCCCGATACCTAATGGCAGTCATGGTGCCATTATCTAGCCTGTAGAGGTCTGTGCATCCCTCCCCAGATTCCCTATTCCTCCCCAGCACTGACCCACTACCAAAACAGTCATGCTGAACATATTACAGGCAGCATAATGTTCTCCACAGCTTCTCCAGACCCTTTCACGTCTGCCACATGTGCTCAGGGTGAACCTGCTCTCATCTGTGAAAAGCACAGAGCGCCAGTGGTGGACCTGCCAATTCTGGTGTTTAATGGCAAATGCCAATGGAGCTCTATGGTTCCAGGCATTGAGCACAGGGCCCATTGGAGGACATCGGGCCCTCAGGCCACCCTCATGAAGTCTGTTTTTGATTGTTTCTGGTCAGAGACATTCACACCAGTGGCCAGCTGGAGGTCATTTTGTAGGGCTCTAGCAGTGCTCATCCTGCACAAAGGAGCAGATACGGGTCCTGCTGATGGGTTTAGAACCTTCTATGGCCCTGTCCAGGTCTCCTAGAGTAACAGCCTGTCTCCTGGAATCTCCTCCACGCTCTTGAGACTGTGCTGGGAGACACAACAAGCTTTCTGGCATTGGCACATATTGATGTGCCATGCTGGAGGAGTTGGACTGCCTGTGCAACCGCTGTAGGGTCCAATGCTTCATGCTAACAGTAGTGACACTGACCCTAACCAAATGCAAAACTAGTGAAAAACAGTCAGAAAAGGTGAGTAGGGGAAAAAATGTCAGTGGCCTCCACTTGTAAAACATTTCTGTTTTGGGGGTCATCTCATTGTTGCCCATCTAGTGTACCTGTTGTTAATTTCATTAATACCAAAGCAGCTGAAACTGATTAACAACCCCCTCTGCTACTTAACTGACAAGATCAATATACCAGGAGTTTAATTGACTTGATGCTATACTCTGATTAAAAATGTTTCTTTAATTGTTTTGAGCAGTGTGTTAGGACACCCCTCCAAATCATTGGATTCAGATGTTTCCAATTACCTTCATGGCTACAGGTGTATAAAATCAAGCACCTAGGCATGTAGACTGCCTCTACAAACATTTGTGAATGAATGGGTCGCTTTCTGGAGCTCAGTGAATTCAAGCGTGGTTCTGTGATAAGTTGCCACCTGTGCAATAAGTCCATCCACGAAATGTCCCTTACTACTAAATATTCCATAGTCAACTGTTCGTGGTGTTATAACAATGTGGAATCAATTGGGAACAACAGCGACTCCCAGCAAAGGCCATGTAAAATGACAGAGCAGGGTCAGCACATGCTGAAGCGCACAGTGCGCAAAAGTCGCCAACTGTCTGCAGAGTCAATAGCTAAAGACCTCCAAACTTTGTGTGGCCTTCAGATTAGCACAACAACAGTGTGTAGAGCACTTCATGGAATGGGTTTCCATGGCCGAGCAGCTGCATCCAAGCCTTTCATTACCAAGTGCAATGCAAAACATCAGATGCAGTGGTGTAAAGCACACCACCACTGGACTCTAGAGTAGTGGAGACGTGTTCTCTGGAGTTAAGAATCATGCTTCTTTGTCTGGCAATCCAATGCATGTCCTGCGCTCAAGGACTCAGATCAAACAGGCGTTAGTGACAAGCAGCGTGTTGTGTATTCATCCACTGGTGATCAGAGGTTGTGCGGCTCTATCTTGAAGCTGGGGAAGCTTAATAAAACTGTAGAGGAAGATGAAAGAAAGAGCGCACAAACCTTGCACATTACCTCAATAAATAGTGACTAATTTTATTAATAAGGAAATATACTCACAAAATGATTGTATAACAGGCATAAGTAACCATAATCCAAACAGGGTTACAGGTAACTCAAAAAAGGGGGGGGGGGGGGGGGGGATGAAGGCTAACGCGTTTCGAAGGGCGCTCCCTTCTTCATCAGAGCTGAACTGCTGTAATACTGACACTCAGT